CCGTTAGGGGGGTTAGCCATGGCCTTGACTACTTACCCTCATAATACAGACAGACTCCATGACGAGTTTGACACCATTAGGGGGGTCAGCCATGGCCTTGACTACTTACCCTCATAATACAGACAGACTCCATGACGAGTTTGACACCATTAGGGGGGTCAGCCATCGCCTTGACTACTTACCCTCATAATACAGACAGACTCCATGACGAGTTTGACACCATTAGGGGGGTTAGCCATGGCCTTGACTACTTACCCTCATAATACAGACAGACTCCATGACGAGTTTGACTCCTTTAGGGGGGTTAGCCATCGCCTTGACTACTTACCCTCATAATACAGACAGACTCCATGACGAGTTTGACACCGTTAGGGGGGTTAGCCATGGCCTTGACTACTTACCCTCATGATGCAGACAGACTCCATGACGAGTTTGACACCGTTAGGGGGGTTAGCCATGGCCTTGACTAGAGAAATGTCGTTCTGTTTCAGTGTGTCCAGGGCGGAGATAGCAGCATTCAGGGCAGGCATCGCTATTGCCAGTTTGGCTTCACATTCATCCTAGAGAAAGAAAACAATTACGTTAACTTCAATTCTATTCCATCTTTGGTCTCATGTCCCTTAAAATATCCCCAAAAGGCAATTTATGTCATATTCTGCCTTTCAAAGTATGTTGAACTTATTCATATTTACATTACATTATGATTTCTTTGATAATATCATCCAATTTTACAACTATGATGAATGACAAGATGGTTGTTGAACCTTCATCATTTCTAACTTGTAGCATTTTTGATTCCTAGTGACCTTGACCTACCTTGATGGCCTTGGCCTCCATGGCTGCGTTATTGGCCACCACTTCATCGGCCTCTACCACCTTTTTGACAGCCTCGACCTCCACGCTCTCTTTGCTGATGAACTCTATCAGCTCCGCGGTCTCTTTACTCGTTTGCACCAGTTTGGGCCGAAGTTCCACCAACTCCTGTTGCATGATACTGACCTAAATAAAGTCCATCAGAAAAATAAGTAAACAAGAGGCCCATGGGCCACATCATCCACCTGAGAAGCTTTGACCATTCTGTTCTTTACTAGATTTCCCCCTTGTAATACATACTGTGACCCCACCCTACCCCACTGATCAAAATTTAGACAATTTGAAATCTACACTACCCCAGGATGCTTCCACATAAGTTTCAGCTTTTCAAAGATTGTCCAATATATTTCTATGTAAAACTTTGATTCCCCATTGTGGCCCCGCCCTAACCCCTGGGGGTTATGATTTGTACAATTTAGAATCTACACTACCCCAGGATGCTTCCACATAAGTTTCAGCTTTTCAAAGATTGTCCAATATATTTCTATGTAAAACTTTGATTCCCCATTGTGGCCCCGCCCTAACCCCCCCCCCCCCCCCTCGGGTCATGATTTGAACAATTTAGAATCTACACTACCCCAGGATGCTTCCATATAAGCTTCAGCTTTTCTGGCTCGGTGGTTATTCAGAAGAAGATTTTTCCTATATATTTCTATGTAAAACTTTGATTCCCCATTGTGGCCCCGCCCAACCCCCGGGGATCATGATTTGTATAATTTAGAATCTACACTACCCCATGATGCTTCCACATAAGTTTCAGCTTTTCTGGCCCAGTGGTTCTTGAGAAGAAGATTTTTAAAGTTTTTTCCTATATATTTCTATGTAAAACTTGGATTTCCCATTGTGGCCCCGCCCAACCCCCGGGGGTCATGATTTGTACAATTTAGAATCTACACTACCCCAGGATGCTTCCACATAAGTTTCAGCTTTTCTGGCCCAGTGGTTCTTGAGAAGAAGATTTTTAAAGATTTTTCCTATATATTTCTATGTAAAACTTTGACTCCCCATTGTGGCCCCGCCCAATCCCTGGGGGTCATGATTTGAACAATTTAGAATCTACACTACCCTAAGATGCTTCCACATAAGTTTCAGCTTTTCTGGCCCAGTGGTTCTTGAGAAGAAGATTTTTAAAGTTTTTTCCTATATATTTCTATGTAAAACTTGGATTCCCCATTGTGGCCCCGCCCTACCCCTGGGGGTCATGATTTGAACAATTTAGAATCTACACTACCCCAGGATGCTTCCACATAAGTTTCAGCTTTTCTGGCCCAGTGGTTCTTGAGAAGAAGATTTTTAAAGATTTTTCCTTTATATTTCTATGTAAAACTTTGACTCCCCATTGTGGCCCCGCCCAACTCCCGGGGGTCATGATTTACACAATTTATAATCTACACTACCCTAGGATGCTTACACATAAGTTTCAGCTTTTCTGGCCCAGTGGTTCTTGAGAAGAAGATTTTTTAATGAACCCACCCTATTTTTGTCTTTTCTTGATTATCTCCCCTTGTTAAGGGATTTGGCCCTTCATTTTAACAATTTAAATTCCCCTTCACCCAAGGATGCTTTGTACCAAGTTTGGTCAAAGTTGGCCCAGTGGTTCTTGAGAAGAAGTCGAAAATGTGAAAAGTTTACGGACGGACAGACGGACGGACGGATGGACGGACGACGGACACAATGTGATCAGAAAAGCTCACTTGAGCCTTCGGCTCAGGTGAGCTAAAAAGGTCAGTAAAAAAACATTTATAAGGCAAAATCTATCATTCTGTCCAAGAGACCTTAAAAACAAGAGGCCCATGGGCCACATCGCTCACCTGAGAAGCTTTGACCATTCTGTTCTTTACCAGATTTCACCCTTGTTATGCATAATGCATCCCCACCCTACCCCACTGATCATAATTTAGACATTTTGAAATCTACACTACCCCATGATCCTTCCATGGGCACATATGTTTCAGCTTTTTTGGCCCAGTGGTTCCTGAGAAGAAGATTTTCAAAGATTTTTCCTATATATTTCTATGTAAAACTTTGATTCCCTATAATGGCCCCGCCCTTGCCCTGGGGGTCATGGTTCCTATAATTTAGAATTTACACTACCCCAGAATGCTTCCACATAAGTTTCACTTTTTCTGGCCCAGTGGTTCTTGAGAAGAAAATTTTCAAAGATTTTTCCTATATATTTCTATATAAAACTTTGATTCCCCATTGTGGCCCCGCCTTTCCCCCGGGTGTCATTATTTGAACAATTTAGAATCTACACTATACCAGGATGCTTCCACATAAGTTTAAGCTTTTCTGGCCCAGTGGTTCTTGAGAAGAAGATTTTCAAAGATTTTTCCTATATATTTCTATGTAAAACTTTGATACCCCATTGTGGCCCCGCCCTTCCCCTGGGGGTCATGATGTGAACAATTTAGAATGTACACTATACCAGGATGCTTCCACATAAGTTTCAGCTTTTCTGGCCCAGTGGTTCTTGAGAAGAAGATTTTCAAAGATTTTTCCTATATATTTCTATATAAAACTTTGATTCCCCATTGTGGCCCCATCCATCCCCCGGGGGTCATTATTTGAAAAATTTAGAATCTACATTATACCAGGATGCTTCCACATAAGTTTCAGCTTTTCTGGCCCAGTGGTTCTTGAGAAGAAGATTTTCAAAGATTTTTCCTATATATTTCTATGTAAAACTTTGATTCCCCATTGTGGCCCCGCCCTTCCCCCGGGGGTCATGATTTGAACAATTTAGAATCTACACTATACCAGGATGCTTCCACATAAGTTTCAGCTTTTCTGGCCCTGTGGTTCTTGAGAAGAAGATTTTCAAAGATTTTTCCTATATATTTCTATGTAAAACTTTGATTCCCCATTGTGGCCCCGCCCTTCCCCTGGGGGTCATGATTTGAACAATTTAGAATCTACACTACCCCAGGATGCTTCCACATAAGTTTCAGCTTTTCTGGCCCAGTGGTTCTTGAGAAGAAGATTTTTTAATGACCCCACCCTATTTTTGTTTTTTCTTGATTATCTCCCCTTGCGAGGGGATATGTCCCTTCATTTTAACAATTTAAATTTCCCTTTACCCAAGGATGCTTTGTACCAAGTTTGGTCAAAATTGGCCCAGTGGTTCTTGAGAAGAAGTCGAAAATGTGAAAAGTTTACAGACGGACAGACAGCTGGACAGACGGACGGACGGACACACATTTGGTTATATATTGGGTACATCAAGTCCAAGTCCTATTGGATACTGCTTATTGGAAACAAAAAAAGTGTACACACGAGAGAGCATTATTTGGGTAGTTACTGTTCAAATCTTATTGGATATTAATTCTCGTGTCCGTATTTTATTCGGTTTTTTCTTATTGTTTTTTTTTATTCATTTCAAATTTATTATATATTTAATATTTGCTGGTAAATTCAGACAAGACTGAAAACCTTTGGTTTTGAACCCATATTTTTGTCAATTTCTGTGATATAGCTCTTTTATTGTAACACCTAACTAATTTGTTCTTAGCAATAAGGATATACATCTGTATATTTCAAAATAACTAATATTAAAATATATGAATACTTAAGTGCAAAAAAACTGAATTGTGAAAACACAACTCAACACATCTCAGACTCTGTTCAACCTTTCTTGAATAACAAAATTAAATATTTAAGGAGGAACTTTTTTTGAGTCATGACCAATTAATAATAAGCAAATGCCCATTACATGTTGGACAGAATGAAGGTATCGAACAGGCATTGGACAGGTGTCCTATACCTGTTGGGTTGTATTTTGACGAAGGGATTAAAATACCCAAGAACAATTGAACATGTGTACATTGTCCAATTCTATTTGGGTTTCTTGAATCTCCTCATCAAAATACAACCCAACAGGTAATGGACATCTGTCCAACTCCTCTTGGATATCTACATCCCACCCAACAGGTAATGGACACTTGTTCAATTCTTCTTGGGTTTCTTGAATTGTTTCATCAGAATACCACCCAACAGGTAATGGACATCTGTCCAACTCCTCTTGGATATCTACATCCCACCCAACAGGCAATGGACACTTATCTAATTCTTGGGTTTCTTGAATTGCATCATCAAAATACAACCCAACAGGTAATGGACACCTGTCCAACTCCTCTTGGATACATCCCACCCAACAGGTAATGGACACTTGTCCAATTCTTCTTATATTTCTTGAATTGTTTCTGCAGAATACCACCCAACAGGTAATGGACATCCGTCCAACTCCTCTTGGATATATACATCCCACCCAACAGGCAATGGACACTTGTCTAATTCTTGGGTTTCTTGAATCTCCACATAAAATACAACCCAACAGGTAATGGACACCTGTCCAACTCCTATGGATATCTACATCCAACCCAACAGGTAATGGACACTTGTCCAATTCTTCTTGGGTTTCTTGAATTGTTTCATCAGAATACCACCCAACAGGTAATGGACATCTGTCCAACTCCTCTTGGATATCTACATCCCACCCAACAGGCAATGGACACTTGTCTAATTCTTGGGTTTCTTGAATTGTTTCATCAGAATACCACCCAACAGGTAATGGACACCTGTCCAACTCCTCTTGGATATCTACATCTCACCCAACAGGTAATGGACACTTGTCCAATTCTTCTTGGGTTTCTTGAATTGTTTCATCAGAATACCACCCAACAGGTAATGGACATCCGTCCAACTCCTCTTGGATATCTACATCCCACCCAACAGGCAATGGACACTTGTCTAATTCTTAGGTTTCTTGAGAATCCCCTCATCAGAATACTACCCAACATGTAATGGACACCTGTTCAATTCCTCTTGGATATCTTCATCCCTTCAATAGTATATAAACTAAAAGGTATTGGACATTCTTCTTGGGTTACTCAATTTTCTTTTCATAAGAAAGAAAACCCAATAGGTATTGGACATTGGTTCAACTCTTCTTGGATATTACATCCCAACATTAGAATAAAACCCAACAGGTGATGTTTACCTGTCCAATTCTTCTTGGGTTACTTATACCCTTCATTAAAATTGTCAAATTTGTTTTGGATATTTATACTCTTGCATTAGATTGCAAACCCAATAAGTATGACATTTACCTTCCCTAGTTGAATTCAAATTTATCTGCATAAGCATACATAAGTCCAAAAACATATTTAATACTTTAATTCTAACATTCCACATCTCATTCAGTGTACACTTTACAAATGATAGGGAATATATCAGCATTTTGTGCCTAAACTATTTGCCTTGTAAAGAATTTTATAACCATGTTTGCAAAATTTAAATTTAAATATTGGAACTTGGAGCAAGTCATTACAGGTAGAGCAAGATGCTGAAAACCATATTGATAAATAGATCACACCCTTGATAAAAATTTGCCTTCAGTTGCTAAGATTGTGTTGTATTATTTGGAAAATTTCTATAACCCTGTTTATTACAGATACATGTACAATGCATATTTTCCCTGTAATAATAAAAATACTTCTGAGATGTAAAAAAATGGATCAAATAGTCACCGATGTTAAAAGATATTACATGATCTCATTAATCTGGTTTGGAAATCACAAACTTGGTTTTGAAGCCGATAAAACAGTATCGCACCAGAAAACTCAGTTACAAGTACAATGAATGAATTTTTTGTATTAAAACTCTAAAATAATTGATGCACTATGTCCAAATCTTTTCGACAAATCGGGATAAAGATATTAAATCAAATCATCACTCTTATAAGTCTTAGAGCTAGAGAAAAGTCATTACATGCCCAAATTTTACATGTAAGACTTTGATCCTATATTTCAATAAGTGTCAAAATGGTTTTATTTTTGTTTCTGTTCAATACTTTCTTCTCCGGGGTCTCTCATGGCCTATACTGTATGATACCTCCATTGACCCTGCTCTTTTATATTGCCATATGTTTATCCAGTAGCAGTGGTTATGCTCAGGCAATCTTTGAAATATTCCCCATTTCATTCATCTCCTTCAGTTCTGCCTCTGTCCATTTTATTCATTCTGCAATTAGATAAAGGCATGTCTTTGCCGTATAAAACATGTTTTTCTTGACTACAGCAAGATCACCCTTTATGTTGATCAAACCCAACCAAGAAGTAGAAGTATATTTCTTATTCAGAAATATGTATTGATAAATAAAATGGAAGAAAAACTAAATTCTATCAACTCTTTTTCTTCTTCTATGTCTAACTGCATCTTCATCCTATCCCCCATCCGCCATAATTTTATCAAAATGGAATCATCATTCAACACACAAAACGATGTTGCATATTAATTAGACAGTATGTTAGTTTCTGATTGTTAAGAAGTAGATTTTAAAAAGATTTTACACCTATTCCTTGCAAATTTTAGACTTCTGCTAAAGAGGATTTAAAATTGACCCAAACCTTACTAACTGCTTTGAAATTATGTTGACAGGGACAGAGACACACACGACACTCCATCCCCCTTCCTGGGGTATGCTTTGCACAAAATTTAATTAAAATTTACTAAGCTGGATAGAAGTTGAAAATATGAAAAATTACAGTCAAACATATTATGAATAACTTTCAGCACATCAGACATGAAGTAGTGATCCTTAAATAAAATACACCTACAAGATGAAGCTGTTTTATTCATTTGAAGTGATATCTAGTATTGTTTCTTTTCCTGTATGCCACCTCTATCAGAACAAAATGTTATACATGTATTAACATAACCTATGACCGTATAGTACCCCAGTATTTACTTTACAATTAATTAAGTTCTGGACCCAACCCTCAGATTCCCTTAAAACAAATGATTCTAAACTGGCAAAGGTAAAGGGCATCTGAAGAATTTAAAATAAAATGATAGTACAAACAAGCAAACAGTGTGCATGAAAATGTGGCAAACACTAGAAAAATACTAAGGTACTTTCTCAAACTTAATATGTATACTAAAGAGGTTTTATTAGCTGTATTGCACATACCAAAAGCTTTCCTGCAGTTAAAGGTTGGTTGCCTAGTAGTTATGTAGTATGTACAAGTTTTCCCCTCTATCTCTTCTAATTTAAGAAGCGAAAATGTCTCTAAAAATCTTATGGTTGGCATGAAGTATTCCTGTTCATTTTACTGATTACTTACAATTGTCCTATTTCTGAGGGTCATCTTCTGATGGGTGTGTTCTCTGCATTGTTCACAATTGAAGTTCCTGTTTGACCTGTTACATATTGAAAATCCTCAATGAACATGATTATGGTTTTAATTTCCATTGTAATTATTGATTACTTTTATAAAAAAAAAATCTAAACCAATTTATTGTAACATAATACGTAGGAAAATATTTATGTAATATCAATGGAAAAAAGGAATCATTATCTCCAGTTATCCTAAAATCCCAAGTAAGCATTAATCATATAAATTCACATACGTAAACCCATTAGCTTTTTGTGCATTATCAAATCATAGTCATCGCTCTGCAATAAAGGAAGTCAAGTACTAATCCACAGCTTTGTGGCAATAAAGTTACTATCCCCGAGTAAAAAGTGACAAGCCCAAATATAAGGCAAAAATTAAAAAGTATTTAAAAAAGGTTCATCGTGAAAAAAAAGTCAGGGGCCCGTTTCATCAAAAGTCGTAAAGTTAAGGAGGCTGGGGGGTCAAAAAATTAATCACAAATTAACCACCAGATTTAAATTATTTTTTTAGATACAGTAACTTAAGCTGTCTACTTTCATTTCACAAAGAAAAAAATCATACATTTTAGTTTTAAAATTTGATCATTTTCTATATCTTCTTATGGAGCTCTCCTTTTAAAGGAGATAAAAATAGTCTGAAAATGGCTGTCACACCCCAGCCTCGTTAAGCCTTAACTTAGGCGTACTTCCGGGGATTACGCCAAAATTTCGTCGGGCGTAATTTGCGTTTCACCAAGTGGCGTAAGTCTAGTCGTAAAAGATACGCTTAGTCACAGGACTAAGTCCTTGACAACGTTGCATTGCGCAGGCGCAAAAACATAAACATTTCCCAAAGCGTACAAACATGTATAAATTGTAGCACGTCAAAATACAGAATAACACAAGTTATAGATAAATTAATACTTGCACTAATTGAAACATGCATGGGTTTATAGTGTTATGTAACAGACATGCATCTTTTAAGAAAACAATTTTAGTTTTTAACAATATTTCAATAATAAAAGTCTAATAAATTGAAAAGATGAAAAGGACAGTACATGTACTTGTATTTCGGAATTAAGCAAAACTATTCAATTTTGGAAATTTAATTACAGCCATACCCCCTCTTCCCGAAATTGATACAGGTTAATAACTTCGCCTTTGATAATAAATTTCATGATTCGATAAAAACTGATTCTACTGACAAATACTTATAATTAAGTTTGAGACAGAATAAGATTTAAAAATTTTAATAAGAAATGTATATGCAAGTAAAAATAATGAAAACAAAATGCAAACGGTTTACATATGAACACATTTTGAGTCAAGAAATAAATTTTACACGTTTACTACTATGGTACATGTAAGATAATCCTCTCTGTATTTATTAATGTTTTGTCAATTCAATTGATTCATAATTGTTCAGTTATAGAAAAAATCCTTTACTATCTGCAGATTAAATGTGATGTACCGTTTTAAAAGTACGCAGAGAGAGAGAGAGAGAGAGAGAGAGAGAGAGAGAGAGAGAGAGAGAGAGAGAGAGGGTTGGAAAAATGACTACAAAGATATTCCTACAAAAATTCTCTGCTTGTGTGGTCTCTGTCTTTAAAATTTAGTTACAGCTACTCTTTATTTTGTTTTTATTAAAATGTAAGGAAATCAGGAAATCAAAAACATATATATTTTCATCTTATATGTGCTTTATATGCGCTCAGATTATCTTATACTATGTAAGATTTGCTCTTTTAAACAAAATTATGAAAATTAAAGATGTCTTCTGCATCAATGTTTGTCTGAGAAAAAAAATAGGAATAACTCATTCTTGAACTTAACTGTGTAATTATCACCGTCTTACATCGATATTATAAAAGCAATAATTTATTACCACTTTCAAAAATCTCTTATTGTCTATGAGACCCCAACCCCCTCCCTTGGTTGGGGTATATGATTCGCCGGGAACATCACTTGTCCCAGATATCTAGGAAAATAATTACCTTCGTCCTTAACTAAGTAATCTGTACATCCAATGTTAATTAATCTGCAAATTCGGGAGATTCTGAACCCTCTCTCCTACCCCCTCTGGATCCACGCATGTGGACGAGAAGTAAATAAGAAATGGACTCTTCAAACATGACAAAAACTACTTGGTTTTAAGAGGGGTTATTTTTTTTTTTTTCTTAAATGTAGAAAATTACACGAACATGATGAAAGATGATAACTATGCTTTTGAAACCGATTTTTTTTTTTTGTAATTTTTGTTTTTCAGAAAAATATGCTGTTGGAAAATATTTTTCAAATAGACAATTTTAATGGGTCTCTTTTTAGTACATGAAAAAGAAACTAGAGGTACCGTAAGCAATGAGTTCAATAAAAGATATCCCCCTGCCTTCCATATAAATGTAATGGCAGTGTCCATGTTTTGCTGTGGGAAACCCAAAATATGTGTCGGATCAAAAAGTACAATAAGGCATAATGGCAATATATAATAAAGATTCTGTGAAAATTTCACCAAATTTCAATCAGTGATATGAAAGGAGTTGCGGATAGAGATGGGTACCCCCAAAGCGTAACAGATGGAGGGACGGACATCCCGATTACTAAATAGTATATACATGTACCGTCCCGCTTTCAGTTATATATGTAAATTGATTTGCAATACCTTAGACATACAATACCACAATCAAATGTGTATGATTTCATTGTCAAAACGTAAGAAATCTCTAATAAGACAATCTTTTCTTCTCAGCAGAAATTTATCAAAATATTATTTGAGTACGTTATTACTCAAATCAACTACGTCCCCAAGTAGTTGTAACAACCCCCCCCCCCTCCCCCTCTTCATAATATGTATAATTAAATAATGCATTGTTTGTATTTTAAATTCTTCTTAGAACCTTACTTTTTCTTTAGAACTCGCTGAAATTAATAAAAAGGCCTTATTTTAACTTAACGCCCTAACTTACGCCTACCCATGAGTAGACTTCAAATTTTGGCCTAAATTTAGTCAGGCGTAAGGATACGCTCTTTAATGAAATGCAAATATTCTCGCTAGTCCCGACTTTACGCCGGTGTAGCGCTACGACTGGGCGTACGACCTTTGATGAAACGGGCCCCTGGGTATTAACTATAGATGATTCTTTTTAAAATTAAAGTTTAATTTAATTTTCGCTAGTAAAGTTTAATCATATATAAATTAATGATTTAAAAAAAATTAAAAAAAGATTTTAAATATTCCTTTTCTGGTCATTCACTACTTCGTCTAATTAAAACGAAGCAAAAATCATTTTGTTTTCATCTTGAATCATTTAAAGCCATATATGGCGTATGTACAATGAAAATTATTAGACTAAAATTATAAGAACTTATTATTTGTATCATTATTTTATATAAACATGATAAAGATAGAAATTTTCCGTAAATTACAAAATCTAAGTCATTTGCGTTATAAAGATATCAAAATTTAATTTGGATTCTCGGAATTTTCTCCGACTTGGAAGAAAATACAAAAGACTTAAATAACACATTACAGAGAAGATAAAATCGTATTATTAGATAAAACAAGGTGTTCTCCGTGCTTGGAATTGTATGAAAAGCTTTAATTTAAATGTATTAACTATATTTCTTTACTTAATTTAAAATTGTACTTTTCAAAAATATATTTTTTGATCAGTTACGCCATATATGGCTTTAAAAAAATGCTACATAATTGCATGACACTTATCATTGAACTGATTGAGTGAATGTATATAATCTAATAATGAGATATCTGAGAGGCATATATGTACAAGCAAACATTGCTGTATTAAACAAAGGAAAGGGGGGAATTCAAATTAGGAAATATAAGATCGTTTTTAAGTAAATCAGTCTTGTAGTACTGCAGAATGGATGCAGTTGTGGAGATTTATGGATAATATGAGCATGCTGACTGGAATATTTCCATATTAGGGAATTTAATAGCAAAAAAGAGTGAAAATACCGGTGGTGCTTTTCATGTATTACATGTGTATTTTAAAAATCCTAATAGCCAAAGGGGATTCCTCAGTTCCAAAAACCACTAGCCCCATCCTCAAAAATGGAAGCCCCGGGTGTAGCGCGATGCTAATTACACACCCATCATGTGAAATAGTTATAGTAGCCCTACATCAATTTCAGTATTGTTTTAAATCAATTAAAACAAATGACAAGAACAATAATTAAAAAAAAAATCAAAATAAAGCAGACAGTCAAAATCAAAGACAGAAAGAAGCACTGTTTTGACTGAAAGTTTTTTCAGTAGTACAATGAATCTCTTAAGTTACATATCAGATGAGATAAACTTACATACAATTATTTAGTTGTTGTCAATTATCGCATTTATCATCATCTCAGCTCACTTTGCGATTGTAATATTGTCTACATGAACCGATAATTTACAGCTGATTTATGAACACACGATTGTTAAAATTTTCATTTCCCTTTCCAATATACATTGTCAGAACATACTTAGTTGGTTATGATATAAAATTAAATAATAAACACTTTCGATTTATTAAAGATTATCTAACAATATACGATCATTTACTAAATACTTCTCGCCCTCAAGAGAGTTAAAAAGACAGAGAAAATTCAAAATACATACAAGTGCAACTTAGGATTAATTGTTCCGATATATCTATTTTAATTTTGTGCATAATTTTTTTCAAAATTACATTAAAATCAATTTTCCTTAAACAAGAACCCAGCAGTAGATAAATATTGATCGAATAAACTTACCTTTTCTCTTGTCAGTCAGAAAATCTTGTTGACATTAAGTGTTTCTTAGTCGCCATATTTTTTTTCCATGAAAACAAACGTTGTTATGATCAGGATCAACGGAAGTTGATTTTCGGAACTCTCGAGAATTTAGAGTTCCGAATGTAAAACTGAAACAACAAAACACGGTGAGTCCGTGAAAGCAACTTTTTTGGACACTTTTTTGGACAAATAGTGGTGTCCAAGTTTTGTTGGGTACTAACCTGCAAATACCCAATTAGGGTGTTTTAAGCATATTCAGCGACACTTCTTATTGGGTATACCCAATAAGCAAAAAGTACCCAATAAGTACAATCTTGGCATGAAAAATACCCAATAAATGCACTCTCGTAAACACGGACAGACGGACGGACGACGGACAAAATGTGATCAGAAAAGCTCACTTGAGCCTTCGGCTCAGGTGAGCTAAAAATGATTCTGAAAGCTATAATGGTTATATTAACAGAACAATGCAAAAATTTAGATAAATCTTGAAGGATCTATACTTATGTGTACATGAATAGAATTTAGCAATAATCATTCCACTACACTTCAAAGTCTGTTCTTTTGATCTCAGATCTGTGACTTATATTACCTGATTTTCTGAGAACTCTAACTTTTCCAATCCCACTATGTAGCGATTTTTCAGGGTCAGAATCTCCATTCTTTTCTGGTCTAGCAGGCTTTTGAAGGTTTTGATCAGTTCTAGGTATGATGTGGGGGTGACATAATTCTGTCGCCTCATTGTTTCATAATACCTGCAAAACATGAGCAAGGGTTAAAATTGGCATTCTGATATATAAATTGTAACTAGTTCTTTCTGACCTAATTTTATTGTATTTAGTGATCCCCCTGCTTACTTACCTGCAAAACATTAGCAAGGGTTAAAATTGGCATTCTGATATATAAATTGTAACTAGTTCTTTCTGACCTAATTTTATTGTATTTAGTGATCCCCCTGCTTACTTACCTGCAAAACATTAGCAAGGGTTAAAATTGGCATTCTGATATATAAATTGTAACTAGTTCTTTCTGACCTAATTTTATTGTATTTAGTGATCCCCCTGCTTACTTACCTCTAAAGATTATCTCCCTTGAACACTCCCAAAGAATTGCCAAAGCTTTCCATGATATGTGACCTCAAATTATTGGTCTCATACGAAACATTCAAATCTTTTCATTCAAAGATCATTAACCACTGACAAAGGAACAACAGCTAACTACTTTTTATCTACATTGGTCAGTTTGGACTTCTTGATCACTGAGCATGTGCACATAATACTCAATCTTCCATCTACTCACCTTTCTGACAGCATTCTGACACTGATGGAAATGTTTACACACTCCAGCTACTCACCTTTCTGACAGCATTCTGACACTCTGATGGAAATGTTTACACATGAAGATTGTCTGGGTCCTCACTTCGTCTGACATCTCCACGTCCTCTAAGAACTTGTTGGCCACCAACTCCAAGGCATCCTCTGGCCAAGGCTACAAACAGAATCAGTTCCAGATTTATTTTCTACCTTCAGTCATCATATTAAATAATTCATATCATCAGAGTCAACCTCAAACTTTTATATATCCAATGATTCAAGACATAGTTAGAGGCTGAAATACACATTACATAAAAAAAAAGTGGTTGGGTCAATATTCAAGACACTGACACTGGGAATTCTAAAGTTCAACTGTAATTGAATTAAAAATTGTTTTTGTACTGTAACAGTGCTTGCAAAAACTTGCATATTTTACTTTTTTTATAAGACATTTAGTGAACAACATAATGAACTGTAAAGCTTCAGTCTCCTCTGACTCCTACCTTGAACCAGTCAATGGTGCAGCAGTTGATGAGGGAGGGAAACATCCTGATTCTGTTCCTGAAGTTATCTCCTATAGGACTGAAGGCCAGGACCACATGAAGGTTACGCCGGATACGCTCTATAAACATGTTGTACATATTCAGGGGAGTCATCTCTATCTGTAAGTTCTGCTGCAGGGCCAACTGCTGCATCTACAGGTCAAATAAAACAGACAGGTGAAAAGTCTGGTCTTCAGAAACTACATGTATTAAGTTATGTTTAAGAGTTAGGAATTGCAGACAAAGAACATTTATTAAAACTTTAAGGTTACCTCGAAATTCATCCAGATTTACCAGAACTTAACATTTAAGCAGTGCCATCAAATTAAGGTTAACTGCTAATTAATGTCAAAATTTCATTTCATGAGTTGAATGTTGAAAACTTATTCTCCCTGGCATACCTTTTCAATAATTTCCAGCCTCTCTTCGTTGTCGTACAGGTTAGGGATGTCTCCAGTGTTCAGTATCATGTTAATGTCCTCCAGGAAAGACTCATCCTAAAACAAACTTCAGTATATAAATATCATCGAGCAAAAAAGCATACACATATAAAGGAGAAGAGAGTTTTTTCGTGATCATATCCTCAATTGCACGAAATTTCTGTATATTCGTATGCATTTACTATAAATTTTATTAAAGTTCATATTTATCCTCAGAAAATGAAACAGGTAATGAAAAATCAATTATCTCTGGGTTAAGAAAATAAAGAACCCAGCATGTTAAATCGAACAAGAAATAGTCATCAATGATAAATTACAAGCTTGATATAATATTCTCAAGTATTTGGTCAAACAGTGAGATACATTGATATCTCTTACTTTAATCTGGTGGTCTCCAAACAGGAACACCATGGAGGTTCCCTCGTCCCCCGCCCGCCTCATGAGGCGCCTCAGGTCTTCCCGCCATTCTGAGGTGGTGTAGTTCTTGGTGATCTCAATTTGGAAGAGTTCAAAGTCCGACATGAAAGCAGCCAAGCGTGAAGAACTCTGCCTCCCACTACCACCAATACCTGGTCATGCAGAAAAAAAGAGTTTTCATGGGGCCGTTTTCTTGTATTTCAAGATTTGAATTTTAATCAGTATGTTAGCATTTAAAAATCCTTACATTGTGTCATTCTTAGCTTATGAGAAAGAGACCTTCAATTTTTAAGAAACACAATACCAGAAATCTCAATACTTGACATGGCAACTAAATTCTTACTGCAAAACAAGTGTTCATTTTCTCAGATTCAATCCCCCCCCCCCCACATTTCGTTTTGCTGGTTCCAGTTAAATGATCAAAAATATGATGTTGGAATTTTTTTGCAGATAAAATGATATCAACTAAATGTCCAAACTGACCAACAAGTAGACAGTGACCGCTGGGCTGTTTGAGAACTCGGCTGATTCGGGAGATGTGCTCTATGGCAAACCTAAACATGACTAGATTCATAGGAGCCTTGAACATCATGTTGTACTCCTCCAGGTACATCTCAATGGCCTGAAAAAAAAATATATTATCATAATTTGGGCATGTGGAAAAATAAAATGCTAGTGAATCCTTCAATCTCCAGTATAAATGACAATGTATTATATGTATTTACTTTCAAAATTGAATAATTTTATCCACATTTCCATAGCATTTTTGTCCCCCGCTTATAAAGTGGGGGATATTAATTTGGGTCTGTCCGTCCGTCCGTCTGTCCATTCATCTTTCTGTCTGTCTGTAACGCTTTTGCTTCCACACAATATCTCGAGAACCCTTTGAGCTTTCGAATTGAAATTTTGCATAGCAACTCCCTATGGACTAAAGAAGAACCCTATTGATTTTGAGGTCAAAAGGTCAAAGGTCATAAATTCGCATATTTTGTCTGTTATAACACTTTCATTTTCGCACGATATCTCAAGAACCCTTTGAGCCTTTACAATGAAATTTTACATAACAACTCCCTGTGCCTAAGGAAGACCCCTATTGATTTTGAGGTCAAAAGGTCAAAGTTCAAGGTCATAAATTCATATATTCTGTCTGTTTGTTGCACTATCGTTTCCGGGGATATTTCAAGAAGATTTTGAGCTTTTGCAATGTATATGTAATTTTATACCAAAACTCCCTTGGACCTCTCTCAACCCTCTAAAAGTGTCCCTCTCCGTTTGTTTTATTAGTATTTAATTTATTGTATTACGTGTCGCTATTTTTAGCACAGGGGCATGAGGAGTTATTACGCATAAAACAGGTTCTCGGCGGACTTTATATTCTTATTACAACTATTAGAACTGTTTAATAAAGGCTAAATTAGACACCATGCATTGTGTAAAATTTTGACAATATCGAACGTGAATATATACATGTATGTGACTTCATGTTTGCATATAATTGTCGCTGATCGTAAGCGGTTCCGTGGTCTAGTGGTATGTCTCTCGCTTCACATGTGAGAAGTCCCGGGTTCGAATCCCGGATGGATCACTTTCTTTTTTTCAAAAATACTTTTTTTTTTTACTAAATGATAGTATTCAGCATGTTCAGCATGTAAAATGAAAAATTTATGAGGTCTGGCTTGTACAAACTCATAAAATCATCATTACAGTGTGATAAATATTCCATAAATAAGAATCTTCTATACACATAATGAAGAATAAGCAATCAAATCTTTATATCCATATTGGCATATTTTATTTGCTTCAATATACATTTAATAATTCTACAAATTCAGTCGGGGATCCGAACCCCCCCCCCCCCCATTCCCCCCAAACTGTGCATGGTTTACTTTTTCCCTAAGCAGGGGACACAAATTCTCTGAATTAACTTGTAATTTTTGCATTTGATCACATGGGAGATATTTACAGTAATCAAATGCATGCATTTAATTCTTAACTCTTTTAAGTGCTGAGCATCTTAATGACCTTTGACCCCTGAACCCTCACCTCTTTGAGGTCACTGAGGTTGAGTATTTCATCATAATATTTCTCCTCCTTGCCCTTTGACAGATAATCTCCGAACATCAGACTTCTGATATCATCATCCGTGACCCCTTTAGACGAGTCGGCCATGATGTGTGAGAATAATGTGTTTATCTTCTCTTTGAACTGACTCTCCACACAAGTCTGTCAATTAAAAACAACACGGTCATAAAAAATTATCATTAATGTATGTTTAAGTTTTGCCCCCCAAGTTTTTTCTGCTCTGTTTTTTCTATCCCCACTGGTTGAAACGAAGACTTAACATAATGTACACAGGGAAATTTTCCACTTTTTGAAATTCTCATCCATTTTGTCAGTGAAATCAACTAAAACAGAGTTAACTCCCTTTTTAACATAACTTGGCCTAAGAGAATATAAAATGGAAGTGTGATTAGGCAATATTAACACTGTTTACAGTTTAGAGCAAAACAGTTTTGGCTAATTCATAAAAGACTGGAACAAAATTCTTTCCCACTGCATTTGTACAAAATTACTTGTCAAAAAACCTGCAGTGTGTATGTATGCAATGCCAAGCTAACTTACTTTGACCATCTTGAAGAACATTTCACGATCCTCTTCGTTGATAAG